TTCCTCAAAATATTCTCCCCTTCCTGCAAATCATCAGATTGACTTTCTGCTACTTTCTTCAGGACGGAAAAATAAATTTCTCAGGATTTTCAAAAGGGAGTTGGTAGTTTTCACTGGGGAGTGCAACCAGTATTGGAGTCTTGTACCATCAACACTTATTGGAATGTACTGGGAAAGATGCAATTCAGTGTCATATGACAGCACTCCCAAGGCATTCCACCTCAGTCTACCCTCAGCTAACCCAAGTCTGCCTGTGTCAGGGACTGGCTAGATGATGAGGAGTGGTGGGAAGGGAAGCCTCAGAGGAGGAAGGACGAGAGCCAGGGGATTGGTGGTGGGACACTGAAAACAGGGCAGAGGATGAAGACGGGGCAGAATGGTTGGATGCTGGACAAGCAACAGGCTTAAGTGAGAGAGATGAAGAAGAGGCAGAAAGCACTGCAGATGCAGAACAGGCAGCTAAGGAGGAGGAGAGGACAGAGCTTGCAGCAAAGTCACAGGAGCCATCCGGTCCTACTGCATCAAACTATTCTCCTCCCTTGTCTCCAAAGGGATGGAGGACCTTGCATGTAGCAGAACAAAGAGCACAGGGGCCCCCTCCTCGATGGAATTTAAAGCTGCTTGGAAAACACCTGGATGAGGAGGAGATGTAGAGGGACGTGGGAGGCACAGATCATCAGTTCTGGCAACTGCTTTACTGGGAGCCAGTCTTGCTGGTAGGTTCTGCTGTTTGTATTCTGTTTCTTTGAATAAAGAATTAACTCGTCTCTGAGTATCTGTGCTGACCTGCAGCTGAACAAGCCCTATCAGCCTGCCTTCTTATATTCAACCAACCCAGGGGTTGTCAGCATCTTCCTCCTCCTTAGTCTCAGGGTTGCCCTTGTAGAACTCAGCAGGGAAGAGAATGGGGATAAAACTAGAATTAGTTGGCTCTGCTTGGCTATTGGCTCTGGCTCCACTGACTGTTGGTCTCCCTCCTTCTACCCTGCCCACGGAGTCAGCCTGTTGGACGCAAGCCCCACACTGCCATTTTGGGTAGCAAGGGGGTCCCAAGCCACCACATCACTCCCAGGAGAGACACGTGGCTTGGGCGTGCTGCAGGACAGGCCCCACGGTAAGTGCCGTCCCCCGCGGTGTGCCATTTTGTCACCCCCTCAGGGATGGCACCCAGGGTGGGCTGCACCCACACACACCCCTTCCTATGCCCCTGCTTGCTAGTCCCAATGGGTAAAAGTGACCACTGGTTGTTGGGAAGTTGTGCAGCCAGCCATCTACTACTGTGAGTGGAATTATTTAAGTTTTCAAAGAGGGGGGGGGGGATCAGAAAAAATAAACCTTGGCCACTTTGTGTGGTCAAGGAATGTAAGTGTGATGGCCTGGGACTCAGGTTCGGACTCAGTCTGCACCGGATCCTTTGCCTCAGGCATCACTTGAACCAAGTCTGGGGCCTGATCCTGAAGAGTCCCAGTCTACACAGGTTCTCCTGCAACAAACAGCAGCTGAGCCGAGTCAGGGGCTGGAGCCTGCCCTGGCTCCAGATTACCTCATCGCCTCCAGCTGGGCCATCACTTACAGCTGCTCCACTACCGGTTTGGTTGGGGAGGCTGAGGCAGCCCCTGGGTCTAGTAACCCACTGACGTCTCCCTAGCTGCAGAGACTAAGGTCTCTGCAGACAGAAGGAGAGATCTGAGTACTCGCAGGAGGAGTGCTCACATTTGGGCAAAACAGGGAGGTGAGTCACCGGAGATCAGGACAGGTCACTACCTCAACAAAGATAAAAGGCTGTCGGACTCCACCCCAGGCTGCAGGAGCAACGTTGCTGTATGCTAGATCCTGCCTGAGGTCCTGTATCTGTCCTTGCCTGGTTTCCTGCCTCGTGTCCTGCCTTGGCCTTGTCGGACTGACTCCTAGCGGAACCTTCAGATTCTGGACCCAGTCCTGGACTGCGTTTCATGGGTTACTCCTGGGCCCAGCACAGTAAGCAATAACCCTCTACTGAAATTTTCCAAAAAAATCTTTTCCATCTGCATGATTTTCCAGGAGGGTTTCATTCTCCACTACTCCACCCCCCTCCAAAAAAACCCCTGAATGGTTGAAAAAGACCATCTCTAGTTATTTAGAACTGGGATAGGAACTGGATTATTCAGTGTTAGTGGTGCATGAGTAAGTCCCTCTGTCCTACAACACTTCACACCCAATAATGCAGTAATGCAGCATTTAAAAATAACACACAAACATCCCACCACCTCTAAGGTCCCTTTATTAGGAAAAAAATACTGGACAAAGGCAGTGGGTTATTTCCATTTCAGCTGATCACGGCAGTTTAACAGACCGATCTCCTCTATTACGAAAGCAAAACCAACAAGAAAACTGGGACACCTTCCATCCAAGATGGCGTCTTCATGGTTTCCATTCAAATCATTTGAGTTTCCATGGGGATCTAGCACAAGCCCTGTTGAAATGAATGAAATATGTGCAGTGCTTAATGGAATATTCCTTTGCTGAGTAACCCACCTGATAATACACTTGCAGATAAAAACAAAGCAGTTTGTTTTTCAGAAAATGGGCTTAAGATAGTGCTTTGTTGGCCTTGGTCCCAGTTTTAAGGTCAGCGACTGGGACAAGCTGAAGCCTTCAAACTCCCCTCAGCATCTTTAAATAGTCCATCTCTGTCCTGCACCTGAAACATCACTGGTCTTGTTTTGCTGCCATTTGCTTTCCCCCCTCACGTCGCCATCCAGTGATATATTCCTCCCTTAATGGTGCAATGCTCATAAACCGCCTTGGCCCCATCCGCCAAGCAATGCTTTCGACGGGGATTGCAAATTACATATTGCCTTTTGCATTAAAACCAAATGAGTTCATCACCGTTTTTAAATAAGGATGTCATTTGTAAATGCTTTATTCATAATTAATGGAATTATTACTGGATGCAGACACATTTTTCATCTCTCTAATATCGGATACGTTGTAAAACGCATTAGTAGAAAGTTTTACTGACTCGGGCTAGGACAACTCTCCTGCAAAATGCATTATGCAATGTTCTGACATTGATCCTATTCTTAGGACAATGTACATGCGCGGATGTAAAGTTATCATTCTGGCAATGAAGTGATAATTGGTGCCAAAGGTATTAACAGTTGGACAATGCTGGAAATGTACAAGTCAGCATTTCGAAAAAATAATATGGAGTCTTCTTGAATCATTAAAGGTAAGCTTGCTCTTCAGTGCCAATTCCAGTGTGTGTGTGTGTGTGTGTGTGTGTGTGTGTGTGTGTGTGTGGTTAAACCTCTTTTGTTGACCACCAGCATTATGCTTTCCATTTTTAAGTTCGGAAAAGAGTAGTTGCTTTGGAAGATGATAATCAGGCACCCGAACAACATGAGCAGCCCAATGAAGGGTCAACTCCCACCCGGAAACCAATGTCTCTTCTGTGGAAGGATGTGTGGATCCAGAATTGGCCTCCACAGTCACTCGCGGACTCATTGTTAAAATCGTGTTTATGGAAGACAATCTTACCCAGCTACGAGTGATCACCAAAGACGAAAAAGGTGTGTGTGTCTGTGTGTGTGTGTGTGTGTGTGTGTGTGTGTATGTGTGTAGGTGCTTGGATGGTTGGAAATAGCATAGGGGACATTGTATTCTGCCCCTCCAGCCTGCCAAATTAGGCCACAAAAACTACCCCTCCTAGGCACCATCTTAAATATGGAAACATTCAAGTTGCTCTCTAGAAGGCCCTCTGTGTGGATTTGCATCTCAAATGGTGCTTCAAATATGGAAGACGGAATGAGGCAGGAGGAGCGACCCCATTGTTTTTGTGACACTCTCTTAGTAGCTACTGTTTTGAGAAGACAATGACCAAAACTAGGGGGACTCAATGGATAGGGATTAATCCTTATCTTTTCCTCCATGATATGAGTCATAGACCTTTCAGAAGATCCATATCCAAGATGGCGCTGGATGTAAGGGGTAAGGCTTTTAGGGAGCAAGTTGAATGGTCCCATTATCTTGACCATTTCCACAATGTTTCCCCCCCCCCTTAGAAATCCATGCATAGATTTGATAGAAGCCTGTGATGGTTGATGCTCAGGCACCATCTTGAATCTGGATCCATAAGGTGGGCAGACTTTCAGGTTTGTGCAATCTACTTCATTTTTTGCTAGAATCCCAAGATCCACCAACCAGGGCCAGGTGCAAAGACATAGAACTAAAGTGTCCGAGCCCAACACTTTGTTCTGAATACCAGAACTGGACTCCTAACCCTTCCATGCAAAAGGGCATGTATATAATTTGGAGCAGAGGAGTCATTTTGCTCCTGCCCTTTTCAATTTTTTTGGGAAACATTAATCCATGGATAGGCAAACTAAGGCCCGGGGGCAGAATCTGCCTTCTCAATCTGGCCCATGGACGGTCCAGGAATCAGTATGTTTTTACATGAGTAGAATGTGTCCATTTATTTTAAATGTATCTCTGGGTTATTTGTGGAGCCTGCCTGGTGTTTTTACATGAGTAGAGTGTGTGCTTTGATTTAAAATGCATCTCTGGGTTATTTGTGGGGCATAGGAATTGGTTCTTTTTCTCTCTCCAAAATATAGACCATCCCACCACAAGGATGGTGGACCGGCCCCCTGCTGAAAAAGTTTGCTGACCCCTGCATTAATCACTCAAATATCTACCAGTGGATCCCAGTCTCACCAGCACTGTTCTAGGAAACTTAATTAAAATGGTACAAAGCACCAGATAACTTGTTGCAGTAACTCTGCCACACCTTCCCTTCCAGAGGATCCCTGAAATTACCCCACATATCTTTAAGGGGAGAAAAACATGGTTGACTTGACCCAGCCTTCTTATTAGAACCAGGACAATGCTATGGAGATTCAGAATCAGACCTGGAGTGTCCATTATCCAGTGAAGCAACTCTAAGAAGTTGCTAAAGAAGCTGGAGTTCTTTTAAGTAGGGTAAGGTCAAAATATAATCCACAAGTTTTTTATGATTTATTCCCAGACATGTCATTCCAGAAGTTCATTTGGAACATCTGCCAATTGTAGTGACCAGCAGTGCCCAAATCTATTTACCTTTTTTTTTTTTTTGACCTTGTTCATTGTTTCCTCTGTCTGAAGCTTATTTGGCACTTCCTCTCCTCAGTGACATCTTCTTCTTTCTCTTTCCCAGAGAGAAATTCACCCCCATCAGGAATCACATAGCGAACAGGACAGCACCACAGTGCTAAATGGTCAATCAGATTTGATTGTGCAATGACTTCATTGAGGGTGAATCAAGGCGATGGAGAGTGAGAGCAATTTCAACAAACACATGTTTGTTCAGGAGTGCTGAAAAACCATTTAGAAAAGGAGGTTTTGGTTTTCTTGTCCTGCTGAGAATCTTCACGAAAAACAATCAGCTGGTTTGGGTCAGCCCAGATGAACACAATTTGTAACTAGAGGTCTGTGAATCTGTCATTGACAGTTTCTCATTAAATTCTCCCCATTTCTACAATGTGTGATTTTTTTAATAATAAAAAATTCACATGCAAATTCAGAGTTTACTACAAATTCCTTGCAACATACAACTTTTGCATGCAATTTTACCGAATATACATTTTTTTGGCAGAGCAAATTTCCTTAATATAATACATCTGTTGTAGTTATTTTCACTAATATATACATTTTTATGTACACTTTGCCCCGGTATATACAGTTTTGTAAAAACTGCTTGGCTGGAGGACCACACTGCCACATTCCAAAACATGTGAATTTTGAGAGATGGCTGTGCTTTGGTCCCTGGAGTCTTTAGGATAGTGTGCATTAGCTAGGCTCTCCTTTAAATATAATGGTTGCCTTCTGTTTCAACTTTTTAATTCCTGCTGAAAACTTTCCTATTCCTTCAGGCTTTTGCAGGCTATTAAGAATATACCTTTCCATAATCGTCAGTTGATTTTCATGGTTCTTACATGGTTTCTCTTGTATGGTTTTACATATAATTGTTGTAAACATGCCAATATTTTCATGATATATATATTAGTAAAAAATAAAATAAAATAAAATAAAAGTTAACTAAATGCTTTTCCTCCCCTATCATGATTTGTGACTATCAGTCCCTCAATGCCAAGCAGTTCACAGCTGTGAGGAACTGAGTTTTATAGCCAAATACACATACTTCATCCTACTGGACTGGAGAATAAAGTCTACCCTTCTGATTTAATGATTGCATGGGAGAATAGCTGGGACTTACTCCTATATATGGGATGCGGGTGGCGCTGTGGGTTAAACCACAGAGCCTAGGACTTGTTGATCAGAAGGTCAGCAGTTCGAATCCCCACGACAGGGTGAGCTCCCGTTGCTCGGTCCCTGCTCCTGCCCACCTAGCAGTTTGAAAGCACGTCAAAGTGCAAGTAGATAAATAGGTACCACTCTGGCGGGAAGGTAAATGGCGTTTCCGTGCGCTGCTCTGGTTCACCAGAAGCGGCTTACTCATGCTGGCCACATTAACCGGAAGCTGTACGCCGGCTCCCTCAGCCAATAAAGCACGATGAGAGCCGCAACCCCAGAGTCGGTCATGACTGGACCTAATGGTCAGGGGTCCCTTTACCTTATATTCCTATATATACACACAGTATATTAAATGTGGAAATGTGGAAAATACACCCCTCTTAGACTACTGCCTTGCCGTTGCAATGCCATCTTCTCCTCCACATTCACAAATGCATTTATTTCCCTTTCCCGGCCTTTCATGTAAGATCAGCTGCTTCGATGGCTCTCCGATCCCAGCTCCATGCTTTCTGCTGCATTTCCTCCCTTCCGAGTGGAAAGATTGAGAAAGAAGCCTGCAGATGCTGATTGATGTTGGTTCAGAGGCTTATATATTATTATGAGAACACTGACAAGTCGTTTGACTGGGGGAACATGAATTAGTCAGATTTGTCATCCTCACTATGGACTGTGACAAGAAACCAATGCACTGAAGTGGCCTCCACGAGGAAATGCCTTAAACGCAGAAATTGCCTTCATACATTTTATTGGCAGCCTGCCGCAGTCATTGGTTCCCACTCACCCCCCCTGCATTTCTCGTACCTCTGAAAAAAGAACAGCTTCTCATCCTGATATAACTATTTGCAAGAGTACAGGGACGATTCAGAGATCCTCCTGCACTCATGGAGCTTTAAGGGCAATCAATTCCTTTTCCAAGGGAACTCTGGGAATTGTAGTTCTGCGAGGGGAACGGGGGAAGGTCTCCTAACAGCTCTCAGCACCCTTAAGAAACTTCAGTTCCCACGACTCCTTGGGAGAAGCCATGGCTTTTTGAAAGTGGTGTGATACTGCTTCAGGGGACAGTGCAGATGGGGTCCCGGCTGTGCAAAAGCCAGGTGTTTCTAAGAGCCTCACTACACACACACCCAACTTTCTCCAGCCAGGCAAGTAAGCAGCATTATCACTGCTCAAGGACACCTTCCACCCAGGAAAATGCGTGTTGAGATGCGTGTAGAGAAGAATCAGTGATGGAGGTGGTGTGGAGAGAGGGTCAGATGTCCTGGAGAAGGGTGCAGCTAGGAGAGAGTCCCAAGGACCAGAGAGAGAGGTTTGGAGGGCTGTATTCTGCCCCTGAGAGCTGGACCATAAAGAAGGCTGATTGCCGAAGAATTGATGCTTTTGAATTATGGTGCTGGAGGAGACTCTTGAGAGTCCCATGGACTGCAAGAAGATCAAACCTCTCCATTCTGAAGGAAATCAGCCCTGAGTGCTGACTGGAAGGACAGATCCTGAAGCTGAGGCTCCAGTACTTTGGCCATCTCATGAGAAGAGAAGACTCCCTGGAAAAGACCCTGATGTTGGGAAAGATGGAGGGCACAAGGAGAAGGGGACGACAGAGGACGAGATGGTTGGACAGTGTTCTCAAAGCTACTAACATGAATTTGACCAAACTGCAGGAGGCAGTGGAAGACAGGAGGGCCTGGCGTGCTCTGGTCCATAGGGTCACGAAGAGTCGGACACAACTAAACAACTAAACAACAACAACATTCTGTCCCTGGACCTGAGGTTCCCCACTTCTTGCTTCAGAATAAAATAAGGAGACACACATACACACTTAGAGATGTACACAGATTCCTCTCCGCAAGGAGCTTACAATCTAAATGTCATTTGAGGAGGAAAGCACAAGGAGAAGACAGGCAGACACACACACGAGGAACAGATAAAGTATATGTGGAAATGGGCCTAGGCTCAGCTTCAGAAGGCGAATAGGACAAACTTGCCTTTCACTGAGGGCAAACGTTTCTGTCAAAACAGAATACTGGCAAGGAGTTCAGAGGTTGAAGCAACAGTTCGCAAGAACCTCCATTCCAGCGACTCCCTAGAGCCCGGGCAGCAAGGCGGCCTTGCAGTTAACAGAAATGAGAGGATGATTTTGTGACATCTCCAGACAATGCCAAGATCAGTGGTCTATGAATCACCTCCTAAGTACTGGCGGGAGGGAGAGAATAAGCAAGAGGGAGAGGGAGCAAGCTCTTTAAAAGACAGTGTGTCCTTTTAAAACAAGACAATGTTTTCAGAATTTTCAGCTGACATTACACTTTCTGTGATTTGATATATGGCGCTGCATCTCTCCAGCCATTACATCATGTTGAGTGAAATGCACGTACATTTGCCCTTGGGTCTACGCAGCTGCCTTGCAGGAACAAGTGGCTGCATTTGAATGCAGCCTCCCGGACTTCATGCATCGATGGGGGAAAGCAATGGCGTAATGCTAACGAAGCAGTGCGTCGTTAAACGGTGGCTTCTGCAGGAGGCAGTAATGGCCACCAACACGGATGACTTTAAAAGAGAATTGGACAAATTAATGGACGGAAAGGCAATCAGTGGCTACTAGCCACAGTAGGTATACTCTGCCTCTGCAGTTGGAGGCATCAAAGCTTCTGAAAACCTCTTACAAGATTGAATGTATTGCCCTCGGCTGTACTTGAGGGACGATTCCTACAGATTCCACATGAAAAACGCTTATGTCCCTGTGGAGATAGCAGTACCGAATCAGTGGCGCATACCCTTCTGGCTTGCACTCTGTATAAAGAGTTGAGGAATGAGATTATCACCCTTCTCTTATTGTCCATTCTGGGTCGCCCAACCACTGCCACAGTGTCCTTTCTTCTGGCAGATCAAGAGGAGCAGATGACAGCAAAGGTTGCAAGGTTTTTAGCTGGGGCAATCAGAATAAGGTCCACTATTTGACTGCTGATTCAGGACCCTAAAGTGCGTTTTATATAATCGACTTTTTATTTCTGTTCTTTGTATACTGCATTGCTGTTTTGTTGCTATGGCCGGTGGCTGATGCAAATAAAGATTCATTCATTCATCTGAAAACCAGTTGCTGGAAGCCAAAGTAGGGCAGAGTGTTCTCATGTTTGGGTCCCACAGACATCTGATTGGTTGCTAAGAGAACAGGATGCTGGACTAGGTGGACCACTGACCTGATCCATCATGCTCTTCTTATGTTCTTAATGTGGAAAGTGGTGCTTCCTTATGTATAAGGGCTACCTTTGAAGGAGACTCAGGAACTACAGCTAATCCAGAAGGTCCCAGGTTCAATCCCTGGTATCTCCAGGTAGGTTTGGGAGGAACTCATCCCTGAAACCCTGCAGAACTTCTGCCAGTCACCACAGACAATACTGACCTCAGTATAAGGCATCCTCTTGTGTTCCTGGTCTTGGGACCTGGTATATATTGCAGTGGAGTGCAGAAAACAAATAGTCTGGTAAGACTGCTGGCTGAAAAAAATCAAAGAAATTTAGAGTTTACTACTCCTGAGAAACAAATCCATTCTGATTATTACCTTATATGTGGTCATCATGGAGTCAGGAGGTTAACGAAAGATCAAACACGAACCAACTGGAGGAGGAAGGTCGCAGTAAAACCTGAGATAAAACAATCGACAGGTATCTACAACCTATCTTTCCCTCACTGCCTAATCCCCTTTCAAAGCCATCTACAGTGGTAGCTATCATCTTCATCGAGTGGTAGACCCTTCCCTTTTTGTGTCCTCCCTCCTGCGTAGCATCTAGTCTGGCTCTCAGTCACCTGCATGAATAATACTTAGCATTTACAAGGTGCATTTCTGACATACAAAGTGTTTCATGAAGATTAGCCAAAGAAAAAAGAAAAGGATCCTGTTTGACTCCAGACAGGAAGCTGAGGTTGCAATATATAACATACATACATACATACATACATACATACACATATACAGTGGTACCTTGGGTTACATACACTTCAGGTTACATATGCTTCAGGTTACAGACTCCGCTAACCCAGAAATAGTACCTCGGGTTAAGAACTTTACTTCAGGATGAGAACAGAAATTGCGTGCCGGCGGCGCAGCGGCAGCAGGAGGCCCCATTAGCTAAAGTGGTGCTTCAGTTTAAGAACAGTTTCAGGTTAAGTACAGACCTCCGGAACGAATTAAGTACTTAACCCGAGGTACCACTGTATATAGTTTTCATTTGTGTCAAATAAACAATTCAAACAAAAACAAAATGGACATTACATATCATAATTCGACTTCCCTCCCCCTCTTTCTGTGGTTCCTTATATTTACTCTTTCCCCCCTGCATTTCCATATTTCCCCCATCTGTTTCCTATTTTTTTTTAAAAAAAAACTGCACGTTTTTACATTAATCCTGCTAATTTCTTGATTTGTTTACAATAAGTTTGTAAATATTCAGTAAACGATTTCCATTCCCTATTAAAGACTTTGTTGTCTTGAGTTCTTATTCTTCTAGTAAGTATCGCCATTTCTGCATAGTCCATTAATTTCTGTAATCAATCTTCTCTCGTTGGGACTTCTTCTTCCTTCCATCTTTGGGCAAATACCATTTTTGCGGTCGTGGTTACATACATAAATAAGTTTTTATATTGTTTAGGTAACTTTGATCCCACAATTCCCCAAAGAAAAGCTTCTGGGTTTTTTTATATAAAAATGTTTCCCAGTAATCTTTTGCCTTATTATAAATCCAGCGTTGGCCAGTGTATTCTCAACACGTCTAAGCGCCGGCAAATATATATATATATATATATATATATATATATATATATATATATATAGATATATATATATATAATGTCTCTGAGGTCTGCCCAGGAAAATTCTTCTTGGTGATGACAGAGGTATGAGGAGAAGCAAATAAAGGAAAGGAAGGTAAAGTAGATGAAGGCAAATTTTACTGGTGAACCTCATGTCATCCTAACTCCTTATTTTCTTCATAAAACCAATGGGATGAATGAACTCTGAGCCAATGTCTGTGTTTCCAACCACAGCTAGGTTGCTAATAAAATAGCAGAGATTCAACCTTAAATATTATCTAGCACAAAAAATACAGTAGATGACCGAGGACCAGTTTTCTAGTTACTAGAACTGCTGTAGCCTGGATTCCTTCTGTGCTGATGGGGCAATAGCATTGTCCTTTCCACATCTGTCCTCCTGAAAATGGGGCAATGGTAAAGCTAGGTCAAAAAGTTCTGCTGGATCTTTTGGGGGGAAATTGAAGGTGGTGGCAGAGAACTGGGATGGGAAGTTTTCCTAAAACACCTCTTGGCTTAGCGTCTTCACTGCTACTACATGTTTCAATGTCTTACCAGAGGCACCTATGGTGCTTCCAAGAATCTTGGTCTCTGGCACTACTGTTTCCTTCCCTGGAGTCCCCTAAGTTAAGAACACTAGAAGGGCTCTGCTGGGTGAGGCCAAAAGCCCTTCTAGCAGCCCAGCACTCTGTTATCTCCGTGGTCAACCTGATGCCAATGGGACCTGAACACAACTTAAGATTCCCAGCGACTGGCATTCAGAGGCATTGGCTCCAACAGTGGCAGTGGAAAATAGCTCTCTCCAGAGAAGCTTTCCTGAATTTTGGGTCTTTGGGCATTATTGGACCATATGTCTCATTAGTTCTGCTGGCTTAGGATGATGGGTAGGGGGGTGGGCTGAGCAGCTAATTTTGTCCTATTTCTGTATCATTGGTACTCAGTCACGGGCCCAACAGCTTATAGGAATCCAAGGTTGGAGAATGCTGCCCTACAGTGAGGGCAGGAGGCATTGCCCTCATTCTGATTGACTTTGTGATGATGCTACATTATCATGCAGCAACACCATCTATAGCTCTATCGTGAAGCCAATTGAGAGTGAGGGCAACATTTCCTATCCTAATTTAAACCAGGGGATCTGTGAGTTGCCAGCCAGCCAGTCTCTAGGGAACATGGCCAGTGGTGATAAGTCCTTGGCTCCCAAACTTTTCAAAATGCTCCACTGCAGGTAATGCTGTGGTCTAAACCACTGAGCCTAGGGCTTGTCGATCGGAAGATCGGCAGTTTGAATCCCCACGACAGGGTGAGCTCCTGTTGCTTGGTCCCAGCTCCTCCCAACCTAGCAGTTCGAAAGCAGGTCAAAGTGCAAGTAGATAAATAGGTACCACTCCAGCGGGAAGGTAAACAGCATTTCCGTGCACTGCTCTGGTTTCGCCAGAAGCGGCTTAGTCATGCTCGCCACATGACCCGGAAAAACTGTCTGCGGACAAATGTTGGCTCTCTTGGCCAGTAAAGCGAGATGAGCGCTGCAACCCCAGAGTCGTTTGTGACTGGACTTAACTGTCAGGGGTCCTTTACCTTTACCTTTAGCATGGGAAGAAGTTTTATGTGTGGATTTCTTTTACCTGCTTTAGTGCTTATGCTATTATTCCAGGGGAGTGTGCAGGAGCAGCTCTGCAGCAAACTCCAGACAAAACTTTGCAGGAATGAGAGATCGTCTTGTTTTCATTCTTTGCCAAATACTGCAGATCTCAGGTGACTTATTTCAGAGCAGTCGATGGGGCTGTTCTAAAATAAGTGCTCTAAAGATTGCCTCCAAAGTCCTATAGGTCAATCCTTTGCATTTTCTAAAGCTTATAGGCAGACAGCTTGAGGAGAAAGAGATACAGGTGTTTTTCAAACATTTACCTTCAGTTGGGGTGGATGAGACTGGCAAGGGCTGAAATCCTACCCACATTTACTTGAGAGTCTAAATCATTACATGTTAACATAGAAAGAAGTTTAACTGAATCTAATAGGATGTACTCCATTTAAACTCAGTTGAACATATTTCTATGTAAACAGGCATCACTTCAGACTGTAAGAGCATTTTTGTACATGAGATTCATGGAGCAATCATATGCATGTCTATATCATTGAGTTCAATGGAGCTTACTTCCTGATAAGAGTGCATGGGATTGCATCCTTAGACTGGAGACAGCTTGTAGAATTGAAAAGGGTTGACTTGAGAGAGTCTCTGTTTCCTATGATATACAATATAAAAGGTAAAGGGACCCCTGACCATTAGGTCCAGTCATGGCTGACTCTGGGGTTGCGGCGCTCATCTCACTTTATTGGCTGAGGGAGCCGGCTTACAGCTTTCGGATCATGTGGCCAGCATGACTAAGCTACTTTTGGAGAACCAGAGCAGCGCACGGAAACACCGTTTACCTTTCTGCCAGAGCGGTACCTATTTATCTACTTGCACTGTGACGTGCTTTCGAACTGCTAGGTTGGCAGGAGCAGGGACCGAGCAACAGGAGCTCACCCCGTCGCTGGGATTTAAACCACGACCCTCTGATCAGCAAGTCCTAGGCTCTGTGGTTTAACCCACAGCGCCACCCGTGTCCCTCGATATACAATATACATACCTGTTTATTTGTCATGTTGCTTCCAGTTAAACAGGTTTTTCAGGCTTTGGAAACAATATAGAAACCTGAAACACCTGTTTTCTAGGGAGAAAACTTGGTGGACTGTATACAACACCAGCAATGATTCTTCTTTCAAATTCCTTCAACTCTGAAGAAAATATGGTCATTCTCCATCTTTAAATTGCCTCTGACGTTTCAGATGATGATATGTGAACAGTGGTTGTTCATGCAGAAAAGTGCAAATCTATAATGCAAATAAGCATTGCAACCTGCATGTTCCATTCACATTGCACTGAATGAAGCAAGACGTAAAGCTTTGAACCACATAGGTATGTGAGAAGACCTGGCAGCACTGCCAACAGATGTATTCTCAGACATTACATAGAACATAGCCCAAGTTGAAATTCATGTCTAGATTTATTTCTTGCATTTATATCCCACATTTTTCTCCAAGGAGCTCAAGATGGCATACATGGTTCTGCCCCTTCTCATTTAATCCCCACAACAGCTCTGTAGGGTAGGTTAGACTGGAAAGCAGTGACTAGTCCAAGATCACCCAGTGAGCTTCATGGCTGAGTGGGGATTGAACCCTGATCTCCCAGGTCCCAGTCTGACACTCTAACCACAACACCACACTGGCTCCCAGTGGTGGACGGGAGAAAGGGGGAGAAAAAAGATGGGGAAGAAAAAGGGGGGTGAAATTAGATGGATTCATAAGTTACACAAAGCATCCAGGAGTTCCACACACACTGAATGTTGGTCTTTTGGGTGCGTGGTGGGGAATCCCAAAGACATTTTGTTAATACTTTTATTAGGATCAAAAAGACACAAAGCCATGCACAAGTTTTCAAGTTCTCCAGAACTTCTCAACAAGCTGGATGTTAAGCAAAATTTGGAATGGGGTGGGGAGAGAAAGCATGACATGTTTCTGTCTGTAACTGATAATAGTCTTGTGATAGACTTTAGAACTTAACTGTGATGGAATATAGGACATTACTGGATTGACCTCACTAGGTGCAACACATTATGGTCCCTGTCCTTGGTCCTGAAATGGTGAAGCTTGGATTACTACATCTATAGAAAAATGGAAAGGAC